TTATACTTCCCTAATAAAAGGTTGCTGTTTTGTACACCATTAGACTCAGACCTAAACATAGTTGTAGAGTAAATACCCCAGTACCCTAGATTCTCTTACAGATGGACGTCGTAACTTGTTGAATGTTGTGTATCATGGCTTGTCGGCCATTCGATGACCCTCGTAAAGGGACCCTCTTTTACAAGTATAAAGAGCATCTTTTAGGAATCTCGAGCATGTTCTATAACTGAAGTTAAAAGTGATAGTCTACGAAGAGGATCCAGGCGCTGCCATCTCCGGACCTGATTTGCCATTGATTGTATTTGGCGTGACAAAGGGATTTACCAACACCAAAACTCTTTAGCATTAGCCACAATTATTACATACCATGCCTAGAATCAAATAAATTCATCAGAACTTATGAAATGAACGTTCAGCGCCAAGTCGCCATCAGACTTAAGTGCATTGAATGTACCTCAGGCTCTCGAAGCTCAATTTAAGTAACTTCCAACTGGTGTCACTTATACTGACATTTTGATCAGAACTCGCGTAATTTAAAGCCCTCCATTAGCTACTTGACATAGTTTGACAGGAGCCCCAGCACGCGTTAGTGAGAACTTTATCAGACCATCTCGAGTAATCACAATCAGAATCAGAGGAAAGAGGTTTTCATGCAGCCCCCAGGTCAACAAATTTTGTGACGGCTGGCTATTGACGCCCTCGGGATTTCAGCCTCTAACGTTAAATCCGATGTTCACTGTTCAGACGTTCTAAACTCACGATTCAAACATTCAGGCTTGGCTCTTCCTGGGAATTATTTTAAAAAATTATTCAAAGGATCTAAATATAGAATCAAGTAGTTAGAGTACAAGTAGATAGGGAAAATAATCTCCAGGACGCGGTGATATGTCCACGTATTAGTCCAGAAAAGATCCGTGAATCGTGATCATGGAGGCTTGTTCACGGTTCGGCCCTGGCTTGCCGTCCAAAGTCTGTCAGACTAGGGCTAAGTAAATCATGGCCGTGGAAATATTGATTTCTCCTCGTCAAGGACGACTGAAATCCAACGCGAGATGAAGTTGCGAATCCTAATATAGAGGGCTTGTATTTTTTGGGCGAATTCGATTATAGGTTGTATTAAGATATGAAAACACCTTCAGCCAGACGATACGAGGACTTGCGAGTCAGTGAAATCTTAAGCTTAGCTACATATCTTTGACCAATAATAGCAATTTGGCGTGTGGGAACGTCGAACGCGTATACACGAGAGAATGCGTTTGATGATGGGTTTGTGCTGGGCACGGCAGCTGGTACTTGTAAATGGAGTTACTGCCTCGCAGTTACAACGACTTGAATTCGAACGCTCAAGCTATCTAAAATTGCAGTTTTCCGCGAGCATGAAACCATTAGCCCAAAAGGATATATGCGGTGCCTCCAAGGCTCCAACGCGTCTATTATGCCTAAAATATCCCACTGATGAAGACGTCAAAAAGGTCGTGGATTGCACAGCTGATATATTTATTTACGCCTATAAGTACCCTACTAGTACTTACAGCACAACGACGAGACGCAGGCTATCAGATAACAATTGATGCCGTCATGCGGTCCGAGAGGAAAAGCTTCGAAACAAAACCTCCGCACTCATCCATAGATAATTCCTTGGTCTGGGCCTGGCCTGGTGGGGACCACTCTGACACCGAGAGATCATGATCAAGGTGTGTTCAAATACGCATGCTAGCAATGTTCAAAGTAGTCACCGGTCCACAAGAAATAATCGGAGACAGCACCAGAGCAGACTCATGCGGAAGCGAACAAAGGGGCTTGGACGCGGGACAAGTGGTACCTGGTTCTCCAATGGATCTGCAGAAGTGCTCGACGTGGAAGCCTTGTGTGGAGTACAATGCCAGGAAAATCTGTACCTGAGAAATTAATGACACTGACACCATATAATAAGATACATACACACGTACTTACAATGAGCCGAGGCTATCCGGTGTGATCAACTGATATCAGAACCTGCAGTCAGATAATAGGACGGAGAAGATGTGCTGGCAGATGTGAATCATGAGAGTGGTCTAGCATCGTCGGAGTCTTGGATCTGTGTCTCGCTCGGCTCAGGTAGGCAGGCTACAGATAGTGAACAAAGTAAGGACTTGCGGAACGGACCTGCGATCGAATTGCCAAGCTAAATGAGTTGGAGGTTGAGCACCGCAATAAACTGCGCCGGTGACTGTACGAATTTACTGTAGCACCTGCTGTCGAGGTCCATTACAAGTTAAATGACTCTCGAGGCATGCAGCTGCGGCGTGGGTTAGCTATGGGCTATGGGCAAGACGGCCAGCATCTCCTAAGATTGGGAGTATCGCATACAGAAAGTCCGAGATCAACGATGTTTTGGAACCATTACTGGCGAAGTTCAGAACCACCTACAATCAACAGTCCACGGGTGTCAGAATTCGCACTATATAGATCCAGTACAGGAAGAAACTGAAGCCGGGACTGACCATGTAACCAGAAGGACAGAAGCCCAGGACTGAGGTGCACAGGCGGACATCCACGGTACACCGGGTGCTGTGCTGTGCGTACATACATAGAATCCCTTCGTTCTATATTTATCGCTCTCGTAGGAATTTGACGAAAAGAGCGGCGTCTGAACTTGTTGCGTCGTCCCTCACAGCACTGATAATTAATCCAAGGCCTTATTACAAGGACCCAGTTGAGATCGGACTCGGAACACTTCCTACCTCAAGCTCAACGGGAAATATACCAGCGAGCAAGATGTTTCTCCGATCCGGATCCAGGTGGTGAACGCGGAGATGGGCAAGATAGCAAAAACACGGGCTATGTGGCGGATGGGGTTATGCTTCGTTTAAGTGGCTCAGCAGAGAACATGTAATATCGATCACAGCTCACAAATTTCGACTTTGACGCGGTCTCCTTTGACATGGACTGCGCTTTGCTCAGCAACACCAACACGCAGCTCTGGTCGGATCCTCCTGTCTAACGTTGGCGAGTTAGGAGCAACTCGGGGATCCCTAACGCTGGCCAGCCTCCCGTTGCTTCAATACTGCGCTGCTATGCATTCCAGGTCCCCGGCGGTCGTTGCTGAATTAATTATAATTGTAATTGATATCGATCGACTGTGAGGAGATATCGGTGGTATCCTATTTGTAACAAGCATTCAGCAGCGAGCAACTAGAGCGACCGACATGGTAAGCTTCAAATCCTTTTCATCTTCGGTGATTTCCTGATGCCCTATAGCAGTACGCTGAGAATCATATGTCTTTGAAAATACAACTAAATTAGATAAATAACTTACCTCGCTTCACCCAACCGCTAAAAGAAAGACGGTTCATTCTAATATGGAGGTTCGAAACAGTCAAATCACTCGGCTGAATTTTAATAAGAACACACATCAATGTTCCGTGCAGACCTGTAATCAAAACAAGGAAAAAAGCAGTTCCTAGCGATCGTTGCCAGAACTATGGGCGCCTACTAGCGCCTAGCGATTACGTTGGGCGTCACAGATAGATGCGCCATCAAAGGAGTGTCGAAGGACACTGGTTAACTTGTTGCAATATGTAGTCAGGGAATATCACACACTGCATTTCCTATTTAGCATAGAATGGAGGTCGTGTAGGCGCCAGTCGGGACCAGGGTATGCCAGACATTTTACCGTGGATAGATACCTGAGAAGGAAAGCAGAAAACAGGAAGGATGACGGCATGTTCACACCTTCTGATCCTTGTCGTCGGTGGATGAACGAAGTGAAGCACGACGATCATGATGCGGCGGTCGGTGGCAATGTTCCTCCTCCTTGGATTGCGTGCCGGGCGGACTTTGTTAGGACTCCCCGCTTTCGCAGAATGACGCATGTGTATAATTAGTGATCGCCGTCGGTGCAACTACTTAAACATGGGAGAATTTACGCATAAGAATTCGAATCAAGGCGCGAGATTTTCGCCGACTAATTGGAATATGGATCGTGGGCGAGTGCGTTGGCGATTTCACATGGTTTCATTGATTGTGGGATGTTATTCGAGGGGAAACTTGGATGGCGCTTTCTAATCAGATAATGGTGAGATTGACCGACGGCAGTGGGAATGCTCGAGGGTTTTGGTCGGAGAAAGCAAGAGCGCCACTGAGTAATTCCCTAAACCTGTGCACGATGCCCGAACGAATGAGAGCAATGAATTCATTTCAGAGCTTTTGAGTTTGCCGTAGAGGACGGATGAACCTTCTATTCCATCGAATGGGATGTAGATACGCAAAAGGCCACATACGTGTGCAAAGTCTCATGTTCCAACATTAGCCAGAGCCTAATAGACAGCTGTGAGAGGCCAAATATAACGCGACCATGATTGAAAGGCTTATGTCAGGACCTCGGTGGGCACTAAGCTTAGCTTGCAGGCTTGTCGACAGTTTATGTCTGTCTGAAACTCTGAAGGTTGAAACGTCGAGAGGCCAAGGAAGATCGACAAGGGTGGCGGGGAATCGGGAATAGTCCAGGCATCGTAAAATTTGACTAGCGTGGACGCTGAGTCGGACTCCTAGGCAAACGGGTCTTTAGGAAGGTATTCCGAGTCGAAAGCCGTCTGGCCATCCTCATGGGAGTGTTACGAGATGTTCTCTGCAGTGCATGGCTCGCTCGAGGCCCAGCTGGCCGAATACTGTGATAGGTTTGAATGTCTTTAGAGAGAGTATTCTCATGTCAAGATGGCGTTTCGAGAAGAAGAGCGCAGAAGGGAAAAAAATTGTGCCTCGATGGGTTGAGTTCCAAATCGTCGCGTCGATATGATAAACGGAGAGATATTCCTTCAAATTCCAGGCACACGCGTGGTCTTGTCATGTCAAAAAAAGCCGCCCCTTTATGAACCGTCGGAGATTGAACTAAGTAATTGAATCTGGAGGGACTCCTGACACTACTTAGTCACCGCACGTGGATTTATTATTCGAATCGCGAGATAAAATTCGAAAAATAGTAGAGAACACTCATACTAACATTTCGAAAAGAACAGTAAGTCACTTTGCCGGAGTGGTTAACGGGATCGCCTGCTATAAATGCAATTAGCGGTTGGGCTTTGCCCGCGAGTGTTCGAATCGCTCAGGTGACGCTTTTTGCATTAAGCCTTTTCTTAGTGATAGTCGGAGGTTTTTCAACGTCGACGTCCTTATCATGCACCCATGCAGATGCAGATGAAGCGGGTATTTTATTGGCTATCTCGCAGAGAAGAGATAGCCAATCGGTGATTCGATGACGATGTACCTCCTTGCGACAATCTTCGGATAGATTCCATCCTTAGACTCGACGCTGGATGCACCGTAATCTTGTGTGCCCCTTTGCAACAGGTGCCGAAAGATTGCGTATGCGAAAAGAGTCTTTTTCGAGACTTTTTCATGATGTTGACTGTGAGAGAAATAAAATGCCGGGCATTGGTCGGAAGGGGGGACATGGTTTCGGGGTCCCAGTACGATCGTAAGAAAACCCACGAGCAGGCCACGAGAGCATACTTGGCACAACCACGCGACCGAAGAACCCCCATCTTTACCCACAAATATTCATTCTTTTCTACTGCACCCTCTTACCTTCTCTCTTCCTCACAATCGTCCTACAGACGGCCTCAAGTCCACCGTCTCCGTAAAACCACCCGTGCTATCGCCAAGCATGTGTGTTACGATCTTGCAGCCGCAGACGGCGACAACCCCGCACCCTGTAATTCCGCGAGACTGGAGACGACGAAGTGCAGATGTTGGCGGGCTGCATCTCGCAACCACAAATGCAGGCCAAGGGCAGGGATGGATGGGCGGTGACGCCGCAGAGCTCGAGTGCGTAAAATTTATCCATCTTCAACTGCTTGTTCTGGACATGTGTTTTGCCCCACTTCAGAACTATCTACGCAGAGCTGCTGAGCGATATGTACACAGAAACGCTCAATTCTGTCAACGATAACAGCCTCGCCTCGTGAGTGGTGCCACCGGTGGCCATTTCATCTGAGTGGTATAATTTTCCTTCCGACTGATGAACTACCGCCGCAGACCGCCAGCCGAGCTTCCAGAGTCGGTTAGATCACGTCTCATCTATTCTCTCGATCGCTGGCATTTCGAACCTCATAAGCTGCCTGATGAGGAGCTCATCGAATGCACGCTGATTCTCTTCGAAGCGCTCTTCCGAGTAGAAGGCATGCAGGAGGTAATTCCGCTCTCGATGCGTGAGTAACCTACGCTCTTAGCCCTTGTCGTGCGACTCCTCACCGTCCAACTTCACACAGACCAAATTTCAGCGTTTATCCATCACCTCCGCAGAATATACAGATACGAAAATACCTACCATAATTTTGAGCATGCACTGGACGTCCTGCAGGCGTCGCAGTCGTACTTGAAATCAGCGGGCATGGTGCCTCCTCCCACGATACTTTTCGCCCCCAATCGGACGTGGAAACCCAGGAAAGCATTCGACGGTAGCCGTCTGATAACGAGCTTGGGTTTACGAGAACTTTTTATCCTGTATGTCGCGGCCATCGGCCACGACGTAGGTCACCCGGGGTTTTCGAACATGTTCATGGTACGTCCCAAAATTAAATCACCTTTCCACCCTTCTATACTAACTCTTATTCCAACGTGATCAGAAAAACGCCAAAACGCCTCTATCTTTAGTCTTCGATCATAGTTCCGCACTGGAAAATATGCATTGCCAACTACTACTGCGCGTGATGAGGTATCATGGACTAGGCGTGCTACTGGACGACCCGAAGCACGGAAATCACATTCGCAAGATATTGCAGCAGTCGGTGCTTGCGACGGATATGGGCGTGCATGAGGACTTTATGAAGCGCCTAAAAAGCACGATCGATGGCCAGTCAGGATCACTCTGTCAGAGGCAGATTGTCATTTGTCAGGCTATCTTGAAGAACGCGGATATCAGCAATCCGGTGTGTAGTTTTCTTGTCTTCTATTCTGGTCACGACATTTCTGACAGAATGTGGGTGTCAGACACGTCCATTTCTCGTCTCGAAGCACTGGGCAAACGCACTTATGCAAGAGTGGACTGCCCAGGCTCACTTGAAGAGGAGCTGAACATGAAGCCGACAGTGACCTCGTCTGACGACCCATCGCGGAGGCCGATGGACAGATATTCTTTATCACTCGATTCGCAAAGCCTTTGCTGGAGCTCACGGAAAAGGCTGTACCCGAAATGCGGATGTACAACACCCACTGTAAATCGAACTTGAAGACATGGAAAACGCGCAAAGCCGACCTGACGAAGTTACGGGAAAGCGGCGCTCAGTGGATATCAACCACACAAAACCCGCCGCCTCCATCCTCATCACCATCAGCGTCTTCATCACCATCTCCGCCGCCGCCACCGTCCTCTGCTGCTTCTTTCATCTCTGTCCTCTCCTCTGTCCCCTCATCGTCCTCTCGCCAATCTGACTGGTACACCACTGCATTCCCGCTTACTCTTCCCTCCTACCCCGCCAAAACGCCTTCAGAAAGCCCGTACCCACCTTCCTCCTCAGGAAGGTCCGAAAACGAGTCGACGTCCATCCCCGACTCGCCCACCGAGTCCGTCTCGTCGTCCGTGTTCTCGCCCATATCTGAGGCGTCCAGCTCGAACAGGTGTCCGTCTGTCGCGGGATCAGGCTCGGGCTCAGGCTTGGGGTCCAGCCAGCAGCTCCTCAGCGCGCCCACGCCCCATGCAGCCATCCGCGCCGCCAGCAAGGTCGGCAGTCTGCGGCAGCAGAAGCACAGCGCGAAGGACAGGAAGGGCTCGCGGAATTCGTGGTGTGCGGCGACGACGACGACGGTGGCGGGGCTTGGCGGTGGGCTCGCGGCGCTTTTCCGTCCACCATCACCTCCGTCTGCTCCTGCGTCCGAGTCGAACAACGCTACTCCGAAGAAAATGTTGCCGCCGCCGCACCCTGCGTCCGCCCCGATGCCGTCTGCGGCCCTTCATCCGCCGCCGCTTCAGCCGTCAGGTGCGACGTTCATGATTCCGCGTCCTTTCAAGCTGCAAGTTTCACCATGAGGCCTGCACGCAAGACATGATGTTGGAAGGTTCTGAAGGTGTTGTTGGGTAGAGGTCGCTTGCTGAGGAGAGGATGGGGGATATCGAGGCCACGGAAGCGTTAATTGACCTACATACAGGCGCGCGCGTAATCGCGCCAAATGCGCGTCTGCCTGCCATGGGGTCAGGGGTCTGCGATTAATCTCCACTTCATACCTTTTTTCTCTCCGCCGAAAATTTCCCGCACCACGCGACTGGCTGAGGCCTCACCTGTGTGCGCGTGTCTGAACCCACCGCCCATTGGTTCGTGGTGCATCCATTTATTGGTCACTCCCATCGCATCCGGCGTCCTAGATACTACCCACCCAATCCCACCCCACCCCCACTCAGCCTCTCTATACCCAACGCCGCCCCGCACAAGCCGCATGGTTTATCACCATGCATATTCCCCAAATACACCATCCACCCAATTGGCTGGATCTCTTCTGTGTTTTTTTTTGTGGTCATGATTCCCCTTCATTTCGTTCTCTTTTTCCCAGACTCTTTCTCATTCTCGTCATCTAGATCGTGCGCTGTCGACTTGTTTTTCCTTCTTTCTCTTTAGTCATTCTTCCGCATTTCTTATTGGTTCTTTCCATCCACACCACATCACTGCATCCCGGATCCACCCACATCCTCGTCAGACATTCCAAACACGCCGTGTCTCTTCGAATTTTTCCTCAAATCCCATTGCCTCTACCGAGTCTACACAACCTTCTCAGCGTTTCTCCTCCATCAAGCATTTTTGGTCCGTCCCGATCTTCGCTGGCCCCTTCATCTATATCCGTGATAACTTCATCGCATACCTGCTCCCCGTCGTTGCTCAAGTTCGATTTTCCCTTGTTAGCCCTTTTTGTGTTGTGTATAGTCACCGTTATCGAGCCCCGCCTCGCCCTGTATCATTTGCCTTCGCTCATGAATTGAATGTATTCGTACTACATACATGTAGATGTCTCCACTGGTAGCAGTCACCAGCAAGAACATTGGTTGATGTTTGGATTGACGTGCGACCGGGTGCGTGAAAGCGTGAGCTCAATCCCCATTATATGTAATTAAACGGATGATTATGAATTCATGAAGTATATACACCCCTATAACACGGTTGGGTGTTGACGGTGGATTGAGTCAGCGTATATAAATGCCACCCATGGCTCTGGCTCAAGCCTGCAGAGCATATTGGAAAGAGCACCGATGCATGCTGCCGATAGATCTGCCGCCCTACGTGGCGATAACATGGCAAACATGCTATAAGTGCCTCTCCTCCGGGTCCAAGTTCACCGGGTCAATTATAGATAGCCCTTCGATTGTGGCAAACTCCACAGGGCTGGAAGCCCTATCGTACATTTCTCTGGCATGTTCGCGCATATGGAGAAGAACTCGACTTGCGAACATAGAATGCAGACACCGCTCTACACTGTAGAGCCAGAATACGAATGCGTTGAGGAAAATATACATTTCGCAAAGGAGAGCACATACGCTGTCATGATGGCCCGCATCGAAGGCTACAATTACAAACCCAGGAGTGAGATGGAAAGGTCGTAGCGGTACTAATGCAGTTTTGAGACTCACAGGCAGGACCAGAGTGACCACGATGTTGACAATCGACAAAACTAAAAACGAACAAAAATATAGCATTAATCTTGAGAAATATTGCCTTTTATTCTGGACCCACAGAAAAGAAACATGTAATAAAAAATACCTGATAATTCAACGTTGTCAGAAATATAAGTAGAAGGCGTCATTGGAACATACCATCACGATAGATAATGGTAGTTAGCCTGGTCCGTACTCCTAGACGATCTGCGAAGTTTGAATTTAAGCCTTCTGTAGGGTGTAACCTCAAAACCGGAGAACATACATGCGTGTATAGAAGGAATTATCATGAGGATTAGAGTGGCTGGAAAGATGTCGTCAATCCATCGTGATGGGTTGTCTATGGCTCTCACTCACAGGTATTCCACATCAATAGAATCGTCCAGTGGAATACTATATATGGTCTCTCTCCTACAGTAAAGCAGCCTCGGAATCCTGGATAGGGTGCCTCGGAAACTGAGATGATAAAGTAGTTAA